ATGTATCAGAGCGCCCACATGACGTTTCCACGGATGAATCCTGACAGAAATATGGGTCTTGGGGTAAATTAGCAGCAAACAAAAATGCACTTGGGCGAGTTGTTGCAGGAGTCCTTACAGCCATACTTTCACTTTCGGGTGTATTTCGTTGGTAATTTCTTTACAGTGAATCGCATGATCGGTGGCGACCCGGATGGTATGTATCTGTATGTTCTGGCTATATGTACGGAGCCCGCGCGCCTCGGTTGGCCCAGGCAATCGGTTTGGAAAACACTGAAAAGCACACCTGCCCGACACCAGTTGCCGTTCATCGTTTCAATGAGAAACATGGCCCGGGCATTCCAGTTTTGCTGCTTCGAGCGGCTGGTGAAAGTCGCAGACTTTGCCTTGCGATGCTGGGTGCATCCGGCAGTCATTGACGTCATGGTCGGAGGAGGTGACAAAAGAGGCTCATGTGGAAAGCGGTTGTACCAGCGAAGGCCGTGGAACCCACGCGAAAACGGCAGCAATCCTGCGTGGGTGATGTCGGCGTTGAAGAGGAAAGAAGAGTGTGTAGCACAGCTTAAAAGTGAATTGGTGGCCAAGCGCAAGGAGGAGGAAAAGGAATAGATGAAAGCTATGGTCGTCGAGTCGGTGGCGTCGGCGCTAGGGGTCAGCTTCTTCTCGTCAACAGCCAACAGCGGCCCCAGTGCCGAGCCGGGTTGCTCTGGCGATATGTTCGTTATGTTCGTTCCCAGCTATGTTCTTTTTCATGCAGAATTTCACTAGAACGCGTCGCCGGCGAATAAGAAAAAAGAAGCGCAAGAAAAACATATCGAGCACCGGCAGCAGCAGTAGTTGCAGCAGCTTCTCGGGGGACGATCGGAGCACGCATCCATCGCAGGCAGAACAGATGATGCAGATGTTTCAGATGATGCAGCAGTCTGGAGATAAGCATAAGGATAAGAAGAACAAGATGAAAAAAACGCAAACGTGCATCTAGTGGTTAACATCCCCTTGGGGCGCAGGCGCAGCAAGTCCCGAAGGGCCGCACTCTCAAGGCTCCTTCGGCTGCACCGCGATGCGGAACCGATCCGGGGCGAGCCAAAAAAACCATAAGGGAGGTGGTGAAGATTTTGGGCCTCACCCTGGAGGGGGACCACGCCTGCTTCAACTCCGTGGACGACTTTGTGGACCGCGTATGCGGGTTGGTCAGCGGACCTATCTTGGAAAAACCGCGATCGATAACAGCATGCCGCAAGAGACCAAGTTCGGAATAATACCAAGCCAGAAAAAGTGCGACAACCCTTCAACCTCGCCAAGCGGGACCGGCGTTGTAACAATAACAGCTATGACGTCTCTTCCGGATCAGACCACGTACCCGTGCAAGTATCGCAGTTTCGTTTGAAGGTTGCCCGGCTACTGGCAGGGTTTCAGCTCGCTTGGTTATAATTTCCGTAGGTCCATACACTCTGTGTGTCGACACCTTCCACGCGATGCTTCGGCTCTCCTTGCGTCTCGTAGCGCCCAGAAGGGGAGCGGGTGCACTCGCGGGGGCGGTCCTGCTAGGCGCCTGTGCCTGGTTTCTCCCGCATCTCTTCCGGTGTTGAGCCACGCAGCTAGTAGCTGTACATGCAGCTACAAGCCGCCCCGCCCTCGTAGATTTTGATGCGTACGTAATTGAAGTCGCAGTCGAGGGTTCGATTCTTAGGCTTACGCCACACCGCCGACCCCTTGTTTATGCCAATCTGGGGGTAGTAGAAGCTGCGAAGGGGTGAAAAGGCGAGTGATACTTGTTTGGTGTCTGTTCGCCGCCACCGCCAGAGGGTCTCGGGCAGTTCCGCGGGGGGGTCCGAGCGGACGGCGACACCGCGAGTTTTGGAGCGACTTGGGGGCCGTTTCGGAGCCTCTGGGGTGCTTCTTGGGGGTTCCTTGGGGCGTCTGGGCGGCCTCGTGAGGGCCTCCGGGGGCCTCTTGGGGCACTCTTGGGGCCCCCTGGGGCTCCTGGGGGCAGAAAGCTAGAGTTTCAACATGTTTGGTCGCCCTCTTGGGCCCCTCTTGGTGCCGTCTTGGAGCCCTCTTGGGCCGTCTTGGGGACCTCTTGGGCCGTGTTGGGGCCGTCTTGGGCCGTCTGGAGGCCGTCTTGGGGGCCTCTTGGGCCATCTTGGGGCTGTCTTTGGGGCCTCTTTGGCCGTCTTGGAGCGTCGGGAAGCCGAAAAGGCGGAAAAGCAAAAAACATCGAAAAACACTATGGAAAATCAACAATTTTAGACTCTTGGGGCCCTCTTGGGAGGCTTGTTTGGGACCTCGGGGGCCGTCTTGGAGACCTCTTGGCCCGTCTTGGGGCCATCTTGGGCGTCTTGGAGCGGTCGTTTGGCGTCTCGGGGCCTTCGTGGGCCGTCTTGGAGGCCTCTTGGGGGCTTCTTGGCCCGTCTTGAGGCCCTCTTGGGCCCGGAAAAGCGCCGTGAACCGCTCGTCCCGGCCGTGCTGCGCTCGTGCCGGACCCCCCCCCCCCTCCAAATCGACCGGACCGGGCTCCCGGGGGAGGGGTTTGGGGAGGGGGAAGCATCTCACACGCCGATGATCCCCAAGGGGTCGGCGGATTTTCGGGTTCTTCTTAGCAGCTCTCCAGCTTACGATGGGTTCGAAAACAATCTTGATTAGGTTGTTTTTTCATGGACTACATTTCACGGGCTGCATCTTAGCCATATCTCCACTTCCTTGCCTGCCGTTCCTCCCGTTGTGGGCTAGCTGTTGCGATTCGGTCCAAGACAAGGCAGCCGGGCGGTAATGGGGGGCCCTTGAGCCCCAGTGTGACTTCCAGTGGGTCGCTGGTTTGCAGCTCCGGGCTCGCCGCGTCTGGAATTGCAAAAAACTGTTTCGTGTCTTATTGCATCCAGATTCTTCGACGGAAATTTGCGCCGCCTGACGGCTGCCGCCTGCTTTGCATTGTTGGCGCTGGATTGCGATTCGCGATTCATTGTTCTCTTAAACACCGTTGGACAATCGCCTTATCAAGTGCCTCGAGGGGCGTCGCTATCGAGACGATATGTTGGGAGCTAGCAGACAAGATGTAAGACGGCGGAAGCCCGCGCGCGCACACCGCGCACACCACGCACCAACACAGACACAGACGCACACAAACACACGCACACACACGCACACACACACACACACACACTCTCACACACACGCACGCGCCCGCATGCACCCGCGCACGCCCGCGCGCACCCGCACGCACCCGCGCACACGCACGCACGCGCACCTGCACCCAGACACGCACACGCACACACGCACACACACAAACACACACACACACACACACAAACGAACACCCACATACACACCCGCACTCCCACGCAACGGCACCCACACACCCACACACCCACGCATCCACGGACCCACACACCCGCGCGCCCACGCGCCCACACACCCACGCACCCACGCACCTACGCGCCCACGCACCCACGCGCCCACGCCCACACGCCCACGCACCCACGCACCCACACGCCCGCGCCCGCACGCCCACGCAAGCACGACTGGGTGCGTTGGGAGAAGAGATGAGGAGGAGGAGGAGGAGGAGGAGGAGGAGGAGGAGGAGGAGGAGGAGGAGGAGGAGAAAGAGGAGGAGGAGGAGGAGGTGGAGGCGGACAAGGAGGAGGGAGAGGAGGAGGAGGAGGAGGAGGAGGAGGAGGAGAGGAGGAGGATGAGGAGAAGCAGGGGGAGGAGGAGGAGGATTGTTGTGATGGTGAAGGTGACCATGACCTTGGCGATGACGATGAAGATGACGGGGATGAGGATGACAATGATGACGATGATCATGACCTTAGCTAGAACTTGAGCGCGCGCGAAGCGCGCGCGATGGTTGTAGTGTCTGTATATATGTATATATCGTTATGTGGGCACTTCCGTGTATCCATGTTCCGTGGTTGCCGAGCCCCCTTCCGCAGATCGATCCCCCAGGCGATGCTCGTGGATGGGCCCACGCCTCGCGAGAAGGGGGGGGCAGTGCGCCGCGGTCGGGGCGACGAGGTCGGCGGCGTGGCCACGCCTCCACGGGCAGGCCACGGCAGAAGCACTGACCACGCGGACGAGTCTCCACAGCATGCAGGCGGCGCGACACGACCGAGACATTTTTTCAATGCTGGCCATCTGGCCAGCGTCGATTGGGGGAGTGCGCGTGGGACTCCGACAGATTTTGCGTGGTTGCCGTTCTATTCTCAAGTCGGGCCTGTCCCTCTACAGTGGGAATGTTCGAAAATAGGCTAGCGATAGTCTGGGGACGATTTCTTCGACATCTCTGGGCACTTTTGGGGGATAGCTTTGTTGGCTTTTTTTTTGTTCGCCCAAAATCCCCCTGCAGGGGGACATGCCCGACCTAATTTTGGATTCCTCCCTCCAGGAGCCTCTCCTCGCTGGGGAGAGCCGGCGCGGCGCCGAGCGCCTCGGCGGCGCACGCCTCGCGGGCGGCGCACGCCCTCGGCTCGCGGGAGCTCGCACAGCTTCTGGGCGGAGGCCTGGCGGTCGCAGGGGCAAGGCAGAGCCCAACGTCAGGCGATCGCAAGCATGGATCAAGGGGGCACGGATTAGCGACGGGTCCCCTCTCCATGGGAAGTCCCGATGCCCGCCGCCGAGCGAGGCGGCGCCGGCTGCATTTTGGGGCGGGCACCCTCCCCCGATCCATGGATCTGGCGACCGCGCGGCTGAACACTCCACCCATGCCGAGCTTTCGATCGAGCGCTCCCGTTGCCAGTCCCGCCATCAGAGCTAGTACGAGCCTGGGACGTATCTCCCGCCAGAGTTCCTCAGTGCAAACGCACGCGCACGTGCTGTCCAGAATTCGTTGTTCCGGGATCCAGACCAGTACCGCACGGTGTGCGCCTCTTCTCGAGGTGTCTGCGCCAAGGAGCGCGCGCGCAGGCACGCGCAGCATTGGTGGAGAGTGGCTAGCCGAAGCGCTGACGATCGTATGCGCGCTCTTGGCTCCAGTCGCGCTGGAACTTACCTCCGCGCTCCGCCAGGAGAGCCTGGACGAGTGGGCCGATGTTGCCAAGAGCGCAGGCTGGCCGGGGTGGTAAGGATGGCCACGAGGAGGCGGCGGAGGAGGAGGAGGAGGAGGCGAGCATGAGATAACAGCGAGGGGCGGTACAGACAAAACTCCGGGATCAGGTGTACTTGGGCTTAGAAAAGAGGTTCAGTGTTTCTTCTGGTTTTCTGTGGGTCCTCCCCTGGCGTTCTTCGGGTTGTCGATGCTCATTCGGGTTGTTTTTGCTCCGTTTGGTTCTTCTCGCTTTGGTCTACAGTTTGCTCAGCCGCGGCTGTCCAAGTGCGCAGACTGCATCCCGCGCTCAGAAAGGACGAGTATCGATCACATTCGATCGAACCATGCCCAGTGTCAGATTCGTAATGCTCCGCGTATCCCAACAGCCTCCGAGTATCCGATCATAGCGGCGATTAGCTGCGACCCCCGAGAATGACCCAGGTGATGACCATGGCCCCTAGCCCTCGGATTCGGGGCCAGGCCGAGGGGTGAGGCGGTGCTTCCCCTCGCCTCTCCCCTCTCGGGCCAGGCGGGTGTCCCCCGCCCTTGGCCTCGGGGCCTGCCAGACGTGCTATCTGACGTCGGGGTGGTTGCCCCCCCTCCCAGGGCCGCCCGTGTTCCGCGCTACTCGTGGTCTGGCTCATCACTCTCAGCGGCGTTTGCTTCGACCCTGGAGGACCTCGTGGTGTGTGTGTAGGGTCACGGGTCTGGGGGGCAGTGCCAAGCGGCGGACTGGGCCAGACTTGCCTCCTGGCCCCCGTGTCCTCCACAGTGCAGCTCCCCCGGGCGCTTCGCCCTATGACACCGAAGAAGGCAGCACTACCACCAGTGCCGCCCCCCCTCACTCCCCCCGCTGGCGATGCTCACCACGCCTGCGGGCCCTCCCCCCCTTCACTGAGGCCTGGCGCCGTGCCGGCACGCGCTGCGTGGCCCACAGTCGTTTGGTTCCCCCATGCACTGTGGGGTGGTCTCTCGGGTGTTGGGTCGCCACGGAGTGGTTCAGCCTTCCGCAGCAGGTACAGCACCCCAGGCTCATCCACCAGCTTCCGGCAAGTGCGTTGCACCAAGTTCCGCGACAGCTGCCCCCCTGGCTTGCAGTCGTCGTCGTGGGCGTTTAGAGTCTGGCGCCCCAGAGGCGACTCACTCCACCGGCCTCCCACTTGCCTCCACTCAGATTGACGGACTTGGTCAACCTGGTTATGTCTCTTGACGGGCTTGGTTACCCGGTTCACGTCTCAGACTGTGGCTGGCACCGAATTCCATGACATTTTGTCTGTGCAAGTGCACGAGCTCTCAGGGTCAGGCCACTTGCATCGTCAGCTCCTCTTCGGCTGCTTTGTGAGCGGGCCGGCCGGCCTTTGCCTGTTGTAGCTAATTCGCCTCGCCCGTGGCCCGGACGTCGCCTCCGCTCCCTGACCGTAGTCTCGGGGCCGCTGACTTAAGTATCCCAACAGCCAATCCTGAAGGGATTCACGGGCGACTCCTTGCGATTTTTGGAAGTGGAGAATCATTCGTGATCGAAGAGGGGTTGCACCAGTTAGACAAAGGGCGGCATCAGCTCAATTGGAAATCCTGAGCGGCAAACTTGGGGCACTCTGCGAGTGGCGTGAGACCCTTGTTAGTATGCAGCTCCGGCCTACGCTGTTGAATCCAGCTCATTCCCTCTTTGTCCAGGTCTTTATTCAGCCCCGTGCGGTTTAATGGGCCTGGGGTCGGACTTGATAGGCTTCAGTTTTTTTCTACGAGCACCTCCCATGAGTTGCCTCCTGACCGTTGCGACCTTGGGGCTCTCTCGGTGTCCTTTTGAGGGTCACTGGGGCGCCGTCAGCGAGCGCCGCCCCGTTCGAGCTCGGCTACGTGCCAAGTGGGGAGTCCTTTGGGGCGCTCTTCCGGGCGACATCTGGAGCAATCGAGGGCCCTCTTCCCACAGGTCCTGACGATCTTAGGTTAAGAAGGGATCTTCGATATCATCGATGATATGATGGTTGTAAGATCGGTATGTTGTTGTTTAAAGGTTGTTGATGTCATATGGTATATAATTTGAGATGTTATGCTATATGTGCTCTGATATGCTAGGCTATGCCATGCTATGCTACGCGATCGGCTGTGCAGTGCTGTGTTATGCTATGATATGCTATGTGGTTTGCCTGTTCCCCTCGCCATCGCAAGCTTCATCGATCACTTTCTCGGTTGCTTGCCAATTAATTTTCATCACGCTGTCGAAGCCAGCGCAGGCTTCATTATCTCTTGTTCGGTCTGCTCTTAGCTGCACGCCGAATGGCCAGAGAACTATATACATGACAAGTACAGTGTACCGAAATCTCTGGCCACAGGAACGCACGTCGAGCATCAAAGTGCGACTTAGTGTAAGTCGCCATGCAGCGTACTGCAACTCACTGGATGTCGTCCTGCACGTCAGCCTTCAGCTTCTCGTCCAACTCCAGCTTGTCCAGCACGGTCTTAAGTCCAAAGGCCGTGATGTAGTACCACTTGTTCTCGTACACCTCACGCGCATCATGAAGCTCGTCTCCGTGCGGGCTGCTGCCAAGCGCTTCCTTGATCTCCAGGAGGTCCGTCGGGTGGTCATGCAGCTTCATCTTCTCGCCCACGGTCATGAAGCACAGCACGACGCTCTTCAGGTCGCCGATCTTGGTGAAGGCAACTCCGTCAGTCACCGCCGCCTTATTGAAGATCCAGATCGTTTCCCAAACGTCGCACGGTTCGATGTAGACGAGCACCCTCATCAGATTGCTGGTGTCTGGCGGCGTGACGTATTTCTTCCACTCAATCCGCTCGTCCAAGAAGATCACGTGTTTGTCGGCCTCGTGCTCGATCTCAGCCTCGGCCGTGAAGGCGACGAGCCACGTCAGGAAGTAGACCGTGTCCGCATCGTAGTCCAGGGCAGGGCCGTGAGGCGTGTTCGCGGAGCACTTGAAGATTTTTACGTGAGGGGTGGCCTTGAACAAACTGACCCTCAGAGCCAACTCGTCCACCACGGCGCCGACCCGAACCCGACTGCCGGCCACCTCCGAGAAGCTAGCCGCCGCGGCGTCGCGCTTGACGTCGATGACAACCCAGGTGTTGCACTCGGGCAGCAGCACGTGCATAGAGGCGATGTCGGGCGAGGGCTGCGGACTGTCGGTCCAGGCGCCCGTGCGGGGCGCGGCGCCCTGTCCGCGCGGAGACTGCATGATCGGCATGGCCTCCATCGCGATCGTCTGGGCCTCGGCGGAGGCGAGAACTCCAGTGGGGGCCGAGGGCGGCGGCTCGCTGGAGCCGAACGCGTTTTGAGCCAAAACAACTTTGCTACCATCGAGGGGTGGGAGCCCCAGCGAGGGCGAGCAGGGCGGTCGAAGGGGCGGTCGAAGCCCCGAGACGCGCAAGGATGCAAGACCATCGGACGCCCCACAGGGGCCGCGGAGGGCATCGGAGCCGATTGCAGATCGAATGAGAAGGCAAGGATTCGTGGACACTGCAGGGGGAGGCACCTGCGTCTTGGCCAAATCGGCCGCGATGATCCTGGAGGGCGTACGCGTGGTTTGAGCTCGGGACAACAATGTTAGATGCCCTCCTGTGTGGACCAGGACCGCCATGTTAGATACCCCCATGGGTGGCGTGGACACGTGAAAACACGCAGTAGCAAGCTCAGGACCACCATATGTTAGATCCCCCGTGCGTCGCCTTGGCACGTGGAAAAACTCTGTTCCAGCTCGGGACCGCCATGTTAGATACAACGCTAAAAAATGAGCTGGGAGAAGTGCGGGGTCCGCACCGAACGACGATGGCGAAAGGCGACGACGGCGAAAGAGGCTGTCAGACGACGGAGGCGACGGCGACGGCGACGACCACGACGACGACGACGACGGATGCCGACGGCGGCGGCGGCGACGACGATCGACGACGAAGCCGAAGGACGACGACGACGACGGCGCCGACGACGGCGGCGGCGTCGGCGACGACGGCAGACGACGGGCGACGACGGCGGCAACGACGACGACGACAACGACGTGGTCGCCGATGACGGCGGCAGCGACGACGACGACAGAGGACGACAGACGACGACGACGTCGACGTTGACGCCGAAGGTCGACGAAGGACCGATCCCCTCACATGTCTACGCAAACCGCCAGCTCGGCGCGCCAGTCGAGCCGGCCAGCCAGCGCGTGCCCCTCCCAGAGCTTGGGGTGTGCAAGCGTAGTGCCCTTCGTCGTCGACGTCGTTATCGTCGCAGTCGTCGTCGCATCGCTGAGGAGTCTTCGGGGTATCTCTATCTCTATCTCCCTCCCTCCCTCCCTCCATCTCTCTCTGTCTCTCTCTCCCTCTCTATATCTTCCACTCATCCCTTTCTCCTTCTGCAGTAACATAAACATAAGATAGACCATGCGCACATGTACGCACAATTATAACATCATATGATGTGATGTGTGTGAATGCGCGGACATACTGATACCAACAGGCTCATGTTGTATGTGTGTGCATCTATGTGTGTATATACCTATCTCTCGCGTTCACCGATTCGGATTTTGTTTCCAGGTCTGCTCGCGCCTTCCCCGTGCCCAAACTCCTTTTCTACATGCCCCTCTTCGTTTCTATTGCCCCACTCGCCTTCTTGCCCCGCCCTTCTTTGTTTTGTGGCGATGGCTATTTATCTGTTGTGTTTCTCCCCTACCTCCCTCTCTCTCTCTCTCTCTCTCCGTGCACCTAGCTCGCCCCTTTCACGACTGGAGGGCTTACGCCTCTACCCGCCCCAGCTGGAGAGCTCAATTGAAACTCGGCCGAGCGTGTTTGCACACGCCCTGACATCGCGCGCTACGAGCGATCCGAATGGTCTGGCCACCGTGGCGGAGCTTGCGCTCCGTCTCTTCCTCCATCCCCGCCACCCTCCCCCCCCCCATTTACCTCTCCGCCCTCCACTTGCCCCCTTGCTCGCCCACCCCTTGGCGCGCCAGACCATTCTAAACCAGTCGCGTCTAAAATAATTAAATAATTGCATGCACGCTGCCGCGCGTGACCGGCCAGGCGGGAGCGCATCCAGCG